TGTATACTCTATAGTGTTTTATTACTATGATTAATAAAATAAAATTGTTAAAATATTTATTTTTCTTACAGGTGTTTGTATGTGTATCACAAGTCAATTCTTACAAGCACGATAAAACCAAAGATGCGGTAAATTGTGCAGGATTTAGGGCATGTACAAAATGTGCAGAAAACCCGTCGTGCAGCTGGTCGTTACAACGGCAGACTTGTGTGAACACGACCCGGAAGCCGGAACTGTTGATGGTGAACATGCCGGATCACTGTCCGCAGTTTACCGTCGTCGACAGTATAATTTATAAAATGCACCTGCCCTTCACGTACAAGGTGAAGGTGTCGAACGACGTGAGCGGTTTCTTAAAGTACCTCGGCAAGAGCAACATCACGTGCTCCCTGAGGGGCATGACGTACAACGGTAAAGTGAACGAGGAGGAGGATACGATCAACTGCGAGTCGATAAGCAACGACAATCTGGAGTTCGACAAGCAGCGGTTCATGATCTACCACTACAGCATCTCGTTCGACGGCGTGCCGCTGAGGATCGACGATGGCGTCAACAACTACTTCACCGTCTACAATAGGCAATATTGCGACATCTCCAACAAGACCAAGCACTGCGTCGCATGTTCCTGGGACTCGGGACTCAACACGTTCTACTACAAACGGTGTTCGGCAGCTAACATGTGCACTGGCCTGTTCGAGTTCTACGACAGCAGGAACGCGACCGCCTTCGCGGACACGACGGAGGACGACCGGTACAACGAGGACACCACTGCGCTGCTCTCAAAATCCGGACTGCCCTCAGGCGTTTGCCCAGACATTTCGATCCAGTCTGTGGAACCACTGACAGCGCTGTGGTCGGGTGGCGTAACGCTGGTGGTAACTGTCAAGAACCACGACGTGCTGTCCGAATCGCGGAAGGTGACCGTCACGGTGGCCGGACGCGATTGCGTCTACCCAAAGACGATAAACGCCGAGACCATATCATGCATGGTCGGACCACCGAAGCACGACGACACGGCCATCACGGGCCCGGTGCAGGTCACGTACGGCCCTCTGCGGCTGACGTCCACCCAGAAGTTCAAATTCATCTACCCCGAGCCGACCACTCTGAGCCCGACGTGCGGTCCCGTCTCCGGCGGTACCTTGTTACACATTACCGGTCGTTTCCTGGACGTCGGCAGCACAGCCACCGTGTCCGTGGGCCCAGCTAACGTGCCTTGTGAGCTGGTCGCTAGGTACGAGGACCGAGTGATGTGCGTGACCGGACCGGCCCACGAGCCAGCTGTGGGAGCCGTCAACATCGTGTTCGACAAGTTTTTGTGGAAGAAAGTAGGCTTAAACAGTAGTACCACACCGCCGTTCAAGCCTGTGGAGTTCGTGTACGCGGGTGACCCAGTGCTGGACGCAAATCAGCCGTTCTCGGGCATCGCATCGGGCGGCAACTACATCCCGGTGCGCGGCCGCCATCTGGCGTGCGTGAGCAATGCAACGCTGTACGTGGACGACTTGTACGGTGTGCGACACCACGCCGGTTGTTCGGTGCACAACGACACGTTCATGGAGTGCTGGTCGCCCCCACTCGACCCTCCCAAGTCGTTGACCCCTGGCGCCCCTGCCCCGTTATTAAACTTTGGGTTCCGCGTGCGCTTTGCAGACCACACTCTGGACTTGTCCCCGCAGCCCGACTTTCCCGGTTACCGGTTGTACGCCGATCCGGCTTTCACGGATTTCGAGACTGACGGACGCAACGTGACGATCAACGGCCGCCACCTGGACCGGGGCTACCAGCCGTCAGTCGACCTGACCATCCGACTGCGTAACGCCAAGGGCACTCTTTGCAAGGTCATCAGCACCCAGAGACGACAGATCGTGTGCGTGCGACCGCCGCCGTCCCCCACCGAAGGAGAACTGCGTGAAATCTACGTAACCGTCGGCCGCGAAGTTGCCCGCATCATCAAGAAGAAGATCAACAACACCGACAAGCGTTTAGAGGACGCACCAGTGGGCGTGTTCGAAGGGTTCATGTTGGTCATCGGTATCATCACCGGCGTGTGCTTCATGTCGTTTTTGGCCGTCGCGGTTTACGTGGTGTGGAACAACAAATGCGACATCCGCCGATATTTGTAATCAGCCTCAGCGCAATATTAGAACATTGTGTACTGTTCGAATCGAAGCATACAATGCTCGGTGGAACAGTTATATGCTCAAACAATTCAAAAACTTATTAATATTATTTTTTTTTTCATTTTACACTGAATACGTCAATAATATAAATTATTTAATACATAATGTAACTTTTCTATTTTTATAAAGTCATCACTCGGATTCATACAGGTTATGACGTAATCAAATGATAATTTATACTACTTTTTTATACTACCTTTTTACATTAGATTTATAAGCACTTTGTATTAACATGCAAAATATTATAGTAGTTAGAATTTTTAAAATAAATCTGATTTTGAACACAAACTTTTGATATTATAATATTTGTATTTTAGTTCGTTTAACTATTCTTTAGGTAGTAAAATACAGAAATTGGATTTCAAAAATATATTAACTAGATACAAAATATGTATACTTTTTTATTTTATGTAGGTATCAATTTACAATTTACAATACCTAGCTATTAAATTTAAGGTGTCATTCGAAATATGCCGTCTCTGTTTTCTACTAAAATATAGGTACTTATATTACAATAACTGTAATTAAATCAACACCAAAAAAACAATGTTAATAATATTTTCTTTTTCAATATGATATTTAAATAATAAATTCATTATGAAGGTTAGGTTAGTTTTATTCGTTTTGTAAAGAATAAGCAAATATAAAACCTGCAAAGCGTAAATAAATACAATTAAAACTTTGTCGGAAGAAGCCACACATTGGTGACAATAATCTATTTCGAACATTTATTACATATTTGGGATTAGTGTTATAAGTTGTAATATTGTTTTATATGAATGAAATGAAATGGAAAAAGACGGTAAGTTTTTAATAAGATAGTTTTTTAATAGTAAGATGATGTACATTGTGAAATATTTTATAGAAAACTTTAACTTACTTAAATAATATTTAAATAAATTTATTATTTAAGTAAGTATCTTTGTTTAAAAGAGTGCTTAGCGTGTGAATCTGGTTGTTTAATTTGAGTCTTTTTGAGACTTTATGTGTTAAGCCCAGATTAGGCGAAAATCTAGTATAAGTCCTAGGCATACTTAACTGGACAGAAGCAAAGGATTTCTCATCCAACAAGATACTGAAGGTGAAAATCAAAACATTATTTAGACTACTTATCGTGTACACAAACACCAAAAAAATTTTAAAAAAACACCAGAGGCGGGCATTAACTTGTTGAAAAGTTAAAGTTAAGTTAAACAGTTCATTTTTTTTTAAACTTTTTAACTTAACTAGTTAATTATTTTTGATTTTAACTTATTTAGTTAAAATTGTTATTGTTGTAACTTATCTTTTTATAGTTAATTATCATTGTCGGGCAGTTAAGTTAATTTTCTTTTCATGTCAAAATTTTGTTGAATCAACTAGACAATACTGATTCGTTGACTATTTTTTGATTTTGGTAATTTATTTTTGAATTATATTTTATAATAATCTGATTTTTTACACAATGTTAAACGTCTTGGTAAATGTTTATGTATAAAAAAATACTAGGGCAGGTTATGACTTAAAAATATTTTAACTTGAAAAAAAATTATAAACTATTTTTGAACTGGGTTAAGTTAATTTTATTTTCTATCCTAATTTTAAACTTATATAGTTGAATTTTTTTTTATTAACTTTTAACTTAACTGAAGGCTATTTAATTGAATTAACTTAACTTGCCACAATTAATTACTTTCATTAACTTGCCCACCTTTGGATACAGGTGATTCCGCCAAGAGTGACATTCGGAATCATGGAACAATTTTTGGTGTGGTAGGATTTGACCTAGTTGACTTTGAACCTCTTCCATAGACCATACGGTCTATACGGTGGTACAGGTAGTTTTTTGAAGCTAAAAGAGGAAAATATAGCTGTGTTATCTACAAATTCCGCTACTCACTTGCAGCTAGGTGAGTAGGTTGAGCTGAGTCAAATATTTATACGTTGAACAAAAAGTAACCTTATTTGAGAATAATATTAAATAATATATACTTAATATTTATCCAAATTATTGTAATTACTTGTTGTATTTTCCAAAAGGACCCTACTTGATGGTGGCCCGCATATACCTACACATTAAGGCAATAGGTTCCTCTTTTTTTATACATTTTATTGCAAAATATTTACATATTTGTATAGGTACCTATGAACATTTTATAAGTGGCAGGTAGTAGGTACTTCCTAAAATAATTTGTATATATTGAATAAAATATATGTATACGAAAATATAATAAAATGTTTGTAGAGAGTGACTATATTATTGAAATATATAAAAGTTAGGTATAAAATTAAAATAAATTTTCTGTGTCATGTTTCTGGTTCAAGGCGTTGTAGTTTGTGTGGTGTAGTATTTTTGAAATTTTCATAAGTAGTATTTTAAATATTCCCTCTATAGCTAAAAAAAACATACCTTAGCCCTTGCAGATTATCTTTGAAAAAAAGGCAAATTGTTAAGAAGGTTAGATATTATAACTTCTAAGAATGAATTTACTATTGTATGAGCGTATAGAATATGCTGACAATAATTATAATGATAATAAAATTACTAAATACTATTATATCTGTTGCAATAATAACTGGTCTTCTGCGTAGATTCATACGTCAACTATAATGAAGTGAATCCTTAATAATCGTACAACAGGAAATTGATTACAAATTTGCTTGATAGTAATTTATTTGTCTATTTCATTTTTTGAACATTTAGCTATAATGTTTATTAGTTAAACATACGTGGACTAGCCAGTATTAAAATATTTGTTTTTATATTTTGTGTTTGTCTATAATAGTAATAACAGTTAATACCTAATATTCGTCATTCAGTGCTATATAAATAATAATATGATGTTTTCAAATTTTACCATATTCGTGGTAAGTTTGACTTTACACTTGTGTTTTAATCAGAAAATTGAATTTTAGATTCTGAGCGAAACGATTAATGTATTGATTTTACAATGATGTGTGGTTTTTTTTTATTTTTTTATTAATATTTTAAATTTTTAAATTGATTTTTTTATATTTTTTTGTGTCTGTCATCACCTTTTAGGACAGTAAAAATGCTTAGATTTTCTTCAACAGTATCTTTTCTAAAAGGAAAGTGAATCTAGTTGGTACTTTGTTTTGTCAAAAGTAAAATGTTTCCAGAAGTTTTTTAAAGCGCCGTGAAAAACAAAAGAAAAATTAAGGAAAAACGGGAATTTTTACTCAAAATCTATTTTCGAAAAAATCAATTTTGCGTTTTGGTTCAACTCTTAAACAAATAACCGCTAGTACGGGAAATTTCGACTGAATGCTTATATTAGCATTTTCTATACACCATAACATTTTCCAAATATTTTGACTTATTTTGAGCTGTATACGAACATTTTCAGTTTTAATTTTTTTAGTTTTTTTTTCTATAAAATATATCAAATAATAATTTGTTGGGTAAAAAAGCGTGAAAATTTAATGCAAAGCTACTGATGTATTGTTACAATAGCAGTTGAAAAATATTAAAAATGTATACTCATTATTTTTTTTTTTTATAAGCATTTAAAGTTCGAATTTCGACAAAATTTATTAATTTAATAATAATTATATTGTAGTTAATAATTTATAAGAAGTTAAACTTTTATAGCTAGAGATTGAAAAAGTAAAACAAGGTTCCACGTAAATAGGTTATATATAAATTACTTTATTCACAATGATATCATCAAATCATCAAATATACTTAGTAATATCATAGGCTGACTGGCCGTTTTCGCTCAGAATCGTTTTTATTATACAATGATATTATATCATTGAATTTAAATTTATCAGCATCCATTACAGTGACCCACTTGTAACCTTCTGTACAGCAGATCGACTTTTTAATTATTTTGTTATGATTTATAAGGCAGGCTATGTGTAATGAAATAATTTGGTACACCTATGCCGCATTTCATTCTGAATTAAAAATATGTGGGATACAAACTGAAGTTAAGACAGTTATAATATTCTTGCCTAAGATTTGAAAATGTATTACAAGGTCCCTTGTAGATTGTTAATTGTTATTACTGAAATGAAAAATAAATGTTGAGCGTGAATGCTTGATTCCATACATATTTTTATGAAAGTTTGAAGTTTAAAATTTTGATGAAATTGGTTATTCAAGAGTAAAGTATTAAAACAATGATTTCATCTAACGATTTTTATTTTTTTGTTGTAATTTAAAAACGGATAACCTCAATGACAAGGATGAAATGTTCACCGATTGTTTATATTATAATTTTCTACAGAGTATAATTTAAAAAAATGTTAGCTCTTTTTGAGCTATTTATAGGCATTTGAAGCAGGGACTGGAACCTTTTGAATTTATCGGTATCGGTTCTCCAAAAATAAAATAACTGTTCTGGTTCAGTTCAGGTTTTTAAATTAAAAAAAATAAAAACAAAAGCAACGGTTCCAAATAATTTCGGTTCTGGTTTAAAATAATTTAGGTACCGACAACTATAATAATTTTAAATACCTATTCGGAATGCGGGTTTAATTAAGAGTGTGAGAAATATTAGAAAACTCATAATATGATCATATATAGTTTATAGACAAAACAGTAATAAAATAAAATTATGATAAATAAAATTATTTTATTTTTGAACCTTAAAGAACCTATTTAATTTAAAATTCCAGTTCGGTCCCGGTACTTTATTTATTGAAATATAGGTTTCAGTTTTGATTCTGGTTCTTAATAATTTAAAGGTTCTGGTTTCAGAACCGCTTCTTTTAGGTTCCGTTCCAGTGCCTGATTTGAAGTTTTTGATTTTCTGTATAGGTATATGTCGTTAAAAAAAATAAATAATGATAAAAATAAACATAGTTTTTTTAAGACACAAAATTTAGACAAAATAAGATACATTTTAAACAGGGAATAACAACTTTTATTATTTTGTTGCAATTTAAATAATATATTAATCGTATGGGTACTTGAAACTTTAAACGTAAGTACCTATATGTCCTATACATTATTATATTTTATATGTATAAGTACCTACACACAACGACATTTCCAATTGGAATATTTTCTGGAAAAAATAATTCAACCTACCACGTAATATTATTTAGTATTTACTAATCTTAAAATAAATTACTTTAATAGCTTAATAGATTAATATAGTACCTAAATATATTATGAAATATACTTAATAATATAGGCTTACAGGTTGTTTTTGCTAAGAATCGATTTTTTCGTGTGCAACGATTTATCATTGAATTCAAATTTAACACACCCATCACAGTGATTAACCTCAATGATGAGGTACATTTGACATATACTGTACCACTTCCTACAGCGGAGCGGTTATCTACTTTTACCCTCTTATTTTTTTATATTAGATTAAGTGTTTTTTACTCAAAAAGTAGATACAAGGTTAGGTTAGACCAGGTCAAAACCACGATAATTTTAAATTGTTCTGTACCTGGTTAAAACTCATACAATTTTAATACCTATAGCTTCACTAAGTAGGTAGTACACGGTTTTCTCATAATATGTTTTCTTCCGAGATCTTTACCATATTATTACTAAAAATACTAAGGCACAATATTTGTTTGGAAGTTAAAAGTTTCAACTAAAACCATTTTGTGTTGTTGTGATTGGAGTCAATTGACTTATTATGATCAAACATAAAGGCAAGGACATCTATGTTCTCTCGTTTCTTTTTTATAATATTTTAAATTTTAAGCTAGTTATGATCATTTTTAAATTTTAATATTTTATATTATACTCATAATTTTCTCAAAAATTAAAATATCGTAAAAATGCAACAGTTGCTAGAGATTTATAAAGAGTTTGATTCTCCTTAATTTTTAAACTAATAATCAGGGACTGAAACTAGTTTAACCGGTTTTCTGAAAACCCTGTTAAAACCGTGGTTTTTTCATCTGAAACCAAAAGCTTTAAAACACCGGTTAATAAACCATAACTTAAAAAATTAAAAAAATTAATTTATTGGGAAAACCTTATTTAACATTCACATAGCATTTATTTAAAATCATAATTTAAATATTTCAATTTATAAAAATACTCAATAGTTAAATATAGAACACACTATTTAATTGTGTAAATAATAAATATTTATTAATGGAGGGGAAATTAAGTCTGTGCGGTTACTGGTTGAGTAGCTTAATGGAAGAGTATAATCACTCGGCAGACAAAAAACCTGAGTTCGATTTCCCGTCCTTCAGCCTGATATTTGATCGTTTGACAGTACCAAACTAACATAAATTACAATATAAATAATTATATTTAAAAGCAGTAACAAATATTTCGTGTATAAACTTAAGAAAAAGCTACACACGGAGCACCATCATTGTAGTCTTTTAGGCACTCTTATTCATAAAATTATACACTTACGCGCTACACAACATACCTACCTACAAAATTTACGTTTCAGCTCAATTTCATTTGAGTTTTGTAGTTAAAAGTAGGTACCTCCCTATAATTAAATTAAATTCATCTAAAACGATGAAAAAAATATATATTGGAAATGGCCGATGAGGGACGTATATTAATTTTTCACTGTACACTGTACTATTCTTCTGTCTTCGTGTAAGCACGTCGTAATTTCTCCAACGTCAATAATTATATTTATTGTTGACAGGTATTTTTGTGCATATCACGTCATGCTTATGCGTCGGAATCGGCAAAGAGTACGATCGATTGTACCGAATATAGATCGTGCACAAAATGTGCGAACGAAACGTTGTGCAGTTGGTCGTTGGAACATCAGAATTGCGTCCAACAGGAAGAACTGTGGGGGAACATGATGGTGCATGTGGAGACGGACTGTCCACAGTTCACGGTGGCCAAACTTTCGTGGTTGAAAGACGCGTCGTATACTTACACGCTGACCGTGTCCAACGACAAGAAAGACTTCATGGCGTACCTCCGCAGGGTGACGATCGCGTGCTCGCTACAAACGGGCTACTTTAAGGGCCGGGTCGACCAGAACGATATCAAGTGCGACGGCATTAGACGGACGCAGGCCGATTTCATGCTCAACAAACAGATGATTTTCTTCTATTACGTGAAGTTCAACAACAACTCGGTGATATTGAGGCTGGATAACGATTCCGATTATTACGTACCGCACTATAATCACGAATGCGGCGTCAAGCGAGATGATGATTGCGTGACGTGCTCGTGGACCGCCGACGGGTACATCAACTACTTCAAACGGTGTTCAAGCGCCAACCGGTGTTCGGGGTTGTACCAGTTCTACGATAGGCGGTACGCTCAGAACTTTACGACCACCCCGACGGCCGCGGCGGCGGTGCCGCTACAGTGCGCCAACGCAAGCGTCCAGTCGGTGGAACCCATTTCGGCCCCGTGGACCGGCGGAACGGTGGTGCGCGTCACCGTCAAGAACCACCGTATACTGACTGAGAAGAAGTCGGTGGTGGTGACAGTGGCCGGGCGCGAGTGTGCCGGCCCCAAGTCGGTGGACAACGATACGATCGCGTGCACCGTATCACCGCCGCCAAGAGAAGAACCAAAGGCAGTCACCGGGATCGCAAAAGGCTCAATCGTGGTTGAGTACGGTCCGTGGCAAAAGTTCAGTATCGTGTCCACGTTCACGTTCAAGCTCGTCAAGCCTCGGCTGACGGACGTAAGCCCGACCTGTGGCCCACTGTCGGGTGGAACACCTCTGACCATCGCCGGCGAGTATCTGGACACCGGTAACGCTGTCCGCGTGGTGGTTGGCAACGACACGACGTGCACTGCGGTCGTCCGCTCGCCAGACCGCATTTCGTGCTTGACGGGCGCCGTGGAAACTCCAACCGACGGCGTCGTCAAGGTGGTGTTCGACGGCGGGCTGTCCGCGCAAGCTGCTAACCGACAGTCGTTCGCCTACACCGGCAACCCAGTGCTGGACGCGTCGCAACCGTTTGCGGGCATCGTTTCGGGCGGCACAGCGATCCCCGTACGTGGACGTCACTTCTCTTGCGCGCGCAACACCACGATGGTCGTCCACTTGCACAACGGCACCGTCCACCGGACCGGTTGTCAGATACACAACGACACGTTCATGGTGTGCCGGTCCCCTACACTGAGCGTGGACGATCTTCCGACACGACACGTGCATACGACTACCATCGCGGCCGACAACGATGACGCCGAGGCCATCCTGCTTGGCACGTTGAAGTTGGAACTCGACGTAGGGTACGATGGTGGCTCGATCGTGAAACCGCGGCCCGGTCACGGTGACCCCATGCCCAGGTACCACTTGTACGCGGACCCGGTGTTGGACGACTTTGCGACGGACGGCCTCGCGATCACCGTCATCGGCCGGAACCTGGACTGGGGCTACGCGCAGTACCAAGGCGACGACACGGTCGTCCGGTTACTCGTAAACGACAACTTGGCCGTTTCCACCACATGTGACGTCACGTCCGTTGACTGGCACAGGATCGTGTGCGTGCCGAAATCAGAGGTGAATTTGGACGCGGTAATCGCGGTCGACGTGACCTTCGGCGTGTCCTTCAGGCGTGTCGTCCACAGAAAGCCCGCCGGTCCCGTCGACGACATTCAGCATCCTTGGACCGATGGCAGTACCACCGTGGTCGTAGCCGTTTTGGCGGCGTTGTTGTTGTGCTGCGCGTGCCTCGTGCAGTCATACGGAAGAAAAATCAGAAATCGGTACAACTGCGGCACTCCGCTCTTCGAATTGCAAACACCGGAATAGTATCGAAACACCAGAATTTAGCTTAGGACAACTGTACTGCTATTCTTATATTTTCACACTCATTTTAAAATATCATATCACATGGATGGCGTAAGACAGTAGTAAAAAAGTGCAGAACGATTCATATCTGCATGCGTGCATAAAATTCTGATTTTTGGAATTTTTAAATATACCTTGAAACGATCAATATCGATATTTTAAAATTGTAGAGATTTTATACACTCCTTAAGAAGTGCCCTGTGGTGATACAAAATACAAATTTCTGATTTTCCAATGAGAAGCTCATCTTTTTATTGTAAATTGTTTAGTGAATAGTTTAATTGAACATTTAATTGAACGAATATAGTTCTCAGTTATTAAAATGTTTATACTAATAAGTTATAAGTATATTAGTCATTGAAAATAGTTTTACAAAAATATAAAATAATCTCGTATTTATTATTAAACCGTGGACGTTAGACCCTTTTACAAATTATTAATGTTGAATGTTGATAGATTTATGTTCATTGCTAAAATTTTCAAATCACCATAATATGTTACCACTTTCCATATATTTTAAAACCATTATTATGGACCTATTATCCTTAGTACACAAATGTAATTAACTCAAAAATAACTCGTTCGAAATCTGATATCAATACGAAAACATTTATAGAAAAATTAAGCTTTAAGTAACTTACAGTAGAAGAGGATGATCATCATTTGAAAAACAGAAGTTTATATATTCACAAAACACCACAGTTAGTACTAAGTACAACAAATTTCAAGAATTGAAAAATAAGCTCTTAAACCTTAAAGTATATTTAAAAATTCCAAAAATCAGATTTTGAACCACTGCATTATTTAATGAAAAGACGGCGAGCTTGGTAATGCTTGGTGAATAATCCTGTGAATATATTATGTTATAATTATTGGTGTAACGTGCGTGCATTCCTGTCATTCCACTATTATAATATTATATTACAAAGGTCTGACCAGGTCTGATGACCGTACAATTTTTTATTTTATAAATTTATTACTCGACTACTTTTCCGTATTTACTGCGTTTTATATTTAGCTTGCACAATTTCACGAGGTGTGTCACTACCAGGGTTGGCACAAAAAAGCCCAGCCCGAAAAAACCATGGCTGCTTTTCTGGATAAAATAGAAATTCAATCTTATTTTTTTTTTAATTTGTGTTAATTTTCAGAAAAATTTAACTTACTTATAGGTATTATTTACTTTTCCAATTAAGTATTAAACTACAGGGTGCCACTATTGGGTGACTTCCCCTCCCGTCAATCAAACCACATTCCATTTACTTATTGTATAACTTGTAAATACAGATTGTCAATATACATTTTTGTTCAATAAAAAAAAAAGTATTATAAAGTAGGTATTATATAAGTAACTAATTTGTAAAATATTTAATAATTATTTTTTTAATTATTAAAAAATTGAAAAAATTACTCACCAACGGTCAATAGAAATGTTAACAATATTTTATTTTTAATAAGGTATTAAATACGTAACTTTTCTGTAAATACTTAATGAAAAATCTAAACAAAAATTAACAATTAACAAAATAACAAATAATTGGTAATAAAATAATAGAGAAGGGAAAAATCAAAAAACAGTGCAGTTAATACATGGAAAAAATTCCAATTTTTGGAATGGGTTTTTTTTCTGAAAAAAAACCCCAATACAACAGCCCATCATTTATTTTCTAATAAAACCCATCGGGCTTTGTGTTTTTTTTTGGATTTTTCTATAAAGCCTGAGTTTTTGCCAACCTTGGTCACTACTCACTAAAAGCGCATACATCATACTTACCTAATAGATACTACTGTCCAGTGTCCACTACTGAAAATTACATTTGATGGAATTTCCATGGAAATGTATTAAGTACAATTTTAAGACTTTTTTAAAGTATTTATCTATTATAATTTTATAAACTCATAACTTAAAATTATAACTAGTAATAAAATATAAGTTAGCTATTTAAATAATTGTATTTTCAATTCAACATGATAATAGTGTTATGACTTTTTAGGAGGACTTAAGGAACACCTACCCCAATTGTTGCAGCCCTGTAATATATAAATCTACTGTCCCATAGGTGCAGTTGTCAAGAACCAAATAGTTTACAAACAATAATAATATTAAGTTTTATTTTTAAACTATTTCATCAGTTATTGAACGTGTTTTATTATTATTAATTCTATATTCATATTATGTTTTTACATACTACTGAAAATTCCAATATTTTCAAAACAAAACTTTATTTATTTATTATGCTTAAGAATTGTATGTTTGTTACTGTTACAAAAATATATTTTAATATTTTATCAAATGTGCCTTTATTTTAACTTTTAAATCAGTTATTTGTTTTTTCAAATACTATTTTCCAGCTTGACGATGCCTATGCCTCCACAACACCGAACGTCTACGGTGTAAACTACAGAAGAAAATCAAAATTCAAATTCAGTGTAATAAGCTTGTAGGCAAATCTGACTGATGGCGGATTTGACTTGGTGGACATTTGATTAAATGGTTGGGACTCATTTTTGATAATGATTAAAATTAGGCAGGATTCAAACTTTCAGGTACCTACCTACTTCCTACATTTTTCCCTCAATCATGTATAGAACATTTACGTAGATATGCTACGTAAGCAAATAATAAATAATAATACATATTATGTTTTACCCATATACAAATATATTATATAATAATATATTGTAGATTTACTAGAGGATTGACTTGGGAAGACACCCCAAATTTATACTGACTTGTGGTTCAAGTGTTTATTATATGGTTCGTAGTTAGCAGGATTGATTAGAAACCTATTAAATATTATATCAAACTCAAAAATTAATTAAGACATTTATAAGAAATTATATTTCAAGTTCACTTCGTAACTCAAATTTGTTTTCAGAAATTGTATCGATTATCGAATAACTAGACAACTAAGTTTATACAATATTATTGATATCTTAAGACAAAAAAAAAAACCAAATAACTAATATTCGTGTAATGCGTTTTTAACTCGAGTGGGAGCGCTCTACTTAGGTCTAAGTTAAGACAATGTTTAAATTGTTTTTTTAAATGTTTTTATTTAAATAAAAAAAAAAAAAATACATTTACTATTATGATAAACTGCATGTGCCTAAACTGTTAATTAAAAAAAAATTCTGTATAATATGATGCATTGGTTGTTTTTAATAAACAGTCGGCGGAACCAACATAAACAAATTTCCGGCGGAATCGATAGCCTTTGGAATTGATACTAAAACGTCGGAATCGATAAAACACCATCTATACCAAGCAAAAAAAAGGTACTTACTATTTATATTATATGTAATATGTATAATACTTTCATCAATGTTTAATATTCTTCAATATCCTTATTCCTTATACTAATATTAAAATTTAACTTTTAAGTAAGAATTTTAAAGCAATTACAAATATTGCATTCGAAAATGATTTTAAAATGTAATTTATAAAATGTCTAAATATTGAAACGAAGTTTTTTATGGCACGATGCGGGGCTAGTCGGGAAAAAACGTTCCTGATAAAATACTATTTTTTATAATATTACATTGAACAGTCATTTTAGCCAAAATATCCATTTTCATTCCATCATACTGATCGATCTAGTAATGCGATAATACTTTTTCAAACAGATTTGAATTCGTTATTGTGTCTACTTGAGATTTTTTAGTCCACTTTTCCCAATTTCACACGGAATTTAAAGCAGAAATCTTAAAAATATGTGGACTGACCGATCTCTAAGATAAAGTCTAACGAATTCAGATCAGTTTTCAGAAATATTAATTCATTATTAGATCGATTGGTAGAATGGAACAAAATAAAAAATAAAAACGGGAGCGGTAAGTTGTAGTGACGGTCCGTGATTGATAATAATTAATAATTAATAAATATTTTGCGTATATTGATATTATAAATGATAATAAAATCATTGATAATATATCACTACACTACGTAATATATTATGTATTTATAATAATTGTTATAATTAATAAAATATATAAGTAATAACTAATAAGTATATAGGTATATAATAATATATATTCAACAAGTATTTAATTTTACGTAATATATTTTTGTCACCCCTGCACCGAAAATTTGGTTTTCGAAGCTTTAGAGGTTGCGTTTAGTGGAAATTCCCAAAAGTTCTGGGCGGGCATATCACGCGTATTCCCTGCACAACTAGACACTGAAATCTATACCATTATGGTCCTTTCAAAACATAAACTTTTGGTTAAATCTTATCATCTTATATATATATTATACCTCTTTGCATGACGCGTACAAATTTTTATTTTATGAAAATGTTTCCGTAGAATAATGTGATTGTTGCATATATTCCTGCACAGTGCATTATCTTCGCCTTAATTAATTTGTTTTGTGCGTCACGTTTGGTATAAACTAGGTAATAGAAAACTGGTATAACTCGAGAAATTGAAAGAGCGTAAAGGCGGGTTTCTACTATACACGTTTTCCGTGTACAGTGTACACGAACAATTTCCAACCACACGGTATCGTGGTTAATCGTATGGTAACTTAACTTAACCAACCTATCACAGTAAAGGATTCGCATGCACGTACACGCGTATGTGTATAGTGGAAACCCGCCTTAATAAGATCAGCATCTGAAAGCATAAACATCTTAATATATACATATTATAATTTCCTTGCATGACAACATTTTTATTTCATGAAACTGTTTTCGTAAAATAATCTGATTGTTGCATACATCCCTATATTATATTGCTTTACCTTTGCCGTGATTACATTATTCGTGTGTCGCGTTTGGTATAGACTAGGTAATAGAAAACGGGTATAACGCGACAGAATTTGAAACAGCGTAATAATAGATCTGCATATTACCTATGCATTTATAATTATTTTAATTTATACATTATAACATTTTGGTGACTTTAACATCAGTTTTAATGATAAGAAATCGGAAACTTTTAAAACTTTCCTTACGGTC